ATGGTGATTGAGAGTGCATGAAGCATTGCCAAACCATTTCCCCCCCCCCCCCGACATTGACCCGACATCAACTAAAATATTTTGGCCTGCAATATCTTGCTTAGCACATAGACTGGTTCCCGCCTAATAAAGATGAAAACGAACGGTTATTAGGACTGAGAACCAGCTAATTCGGCAACGACATCGACAACGTGAATGATGTCAAGCAAAACCGTTTTTGGAAACTATCTAGAAGTGAAGATTTCAGCCAGTAATTTCACAAAACTGAAAGTCTTCTTTTCTGTGTAGTTTTTTCCAAGCACCATTGACCATAATTAAAATAACTTAAAAGTTTTCGAGCCCTTTATGCCATGTCCAACTTTGGACCCCTAATTTATAGAATAACCTATGTAAATGAATTTCCTTTCATTTTACGTTGGCTCCTTCAGCCCAAAACATTGTTTGCTTTTAATTAGCAGTAAAATTTGGTAATTTCACGGCCCAAGTTTTGAGTATTTTGATTGTGCTTAAAATATAAATATGTGGCGCTAAAAATCGGTTTCCGAACATCCGAACTGAACAATTCAGTTCCGTTCGGTTTGGAAGTGCTTTGTCCTAGAATTTGGGATCTGTTCAGCACTTTGGTTGCAGCACCAGGCCCAGCTTATAAGATTCTGGATTGAAAAGTGTCCAAAGTAGAGCAAGAGTATAACAGGGCACAAACAACACAAAGTCATCTTGACAAAACCCGTCCACCCCAATAAGCATTTCACATACATGTACCTCTCATGAGTCATCATTACCGCTGGTTCATTGCAGTTCCCTGAACAGGAGCTGACTATGTGCAAAAGAGTACCAGCAAAATCAAACTCATAACAGGACAACAAAAAAAACAACCCAAAAAACACATGACTACGCATAAATACAGGTATGTTGGCAAAAAGAAATATCTGCCACATTCTCATAATTCGAAATGGACGGGATGCACAGCATGCATGTATATTAATGAAGTAACAAATGTTTATTTTTTCTATCCACACAAAAAGCTGGTACTTTATGAGTTCATTTCTTCACTAAAGTTTTAGTATTGCTCAACCGGCACTTGTTTCCAAGTCCATATTGGTTTGTCAAATTAGGCCATAAACATGATTGATTTATTCGTGAGAGAGGGCCTGAAAGAGGAGGGGAAAAAAAGAAATTTGTTCCACACTTTTCATAAGATCCGGGAGTAATTTTGTCTCCTGAAATCTTATTCCGTTTGCAGGGCACCCAGCAGATATTTAAGCTGAGTGGCAGCCTGCCAGCTTTATCGTTTATGCTATGAACAACCTGGCAAAACTGACATTATAAAAACAATTCCGGGTTCACCTTTTTTAAAGCTATGTTTTAGTATCATGGGCTGTTAGGCCTGCAAGTATAATATCATTTTTCCGATCAATTAATTATTCCTTTTTTGTGTTTTTGTTTTGATCAATCAAAAGGCTAATTCATTTTTCTGTGTCAGTTGGTACATGTACGTGTAAATGATGCCGACATCAGAAGTTTCATTAACCAAAAAAATCACTCACTTCTCAACAATTTGGGATTAACATAATTTTCTTAAGGTATTTTTTTGCGTCGGTTATAGTGTGTTTGCCTCGCTTTCTTTGGAAAGAGTTTTATGCTTGAATTTTTTTCCCTCAATCTTTTCAGTGAGAATTGTTAGTGCTGCAAGCTCTTGCACACCCGAAAGGAAGCCTTCATTTTTTAAAAGTGGGTTTGGATTAATCAAACTGGGAAAAAAAGTCACTAAATAACCAACAAGTTGATTGATTAATCTAATAATGGAATAATCTTTGCAGGCCTATGACTTTGAAAGTAGAAGGTGATCGAGTACTGCAGTATCAAAGGCATACCAACAATAGTACATACAGTTACCAACCAATAAATAGGCCCAATATTGCCTACGCCGACCAAATCACGATTGCATGTCCTCAAATTCTCTGCTATTAGAGCATTTTGTGGGCCACGAACTTGAGGGTTTGTAAAAAAGAAGATTGGAAGCCGTGCACAGGACTGTGAGCTTGTATTTTGGTGAAATTTGGATGAAATTGAGCCTTAAAAGTAATCTTTTGTTTTGCAATGGAGCATATAGGCATCATTTTTCAATATGGCGATGGGCTTCATGACAATTATTAGGGGTGTTCATCTTTGGATGGACATTTCTCCCAAATGCCATCAGATTACCCCAAAAAATTGAACAGAAAATGAAAGATGGTGAAATAAGCTGAAATTTGATGTGCATCTCGAACACCTTGGAGATTTACGAGTATTTTTCCTGAATTTTGGAAGTGGGGGCATTTATCATTGGGGTCTATGGCAGTTTATTTACTGGTCTGCAAGCATAGGCATGATGTATGCCTACATGTACATGCATCAATAAACACTCAATCCAAAATTGAGGGGGGGGGGTTAACCAGTTTTCAAAAACTTATTAGTCCTCTTGCATGGGGTGGACATGAAATATGAACTCGGCAATTCCATGGTAACTCGCATTACATTTAAAGGGTACTCCTACGTCAACTCTGTGACTGTTATTCTATGAAGTCAAAGCATTTGGGATGGATTTTTTTTCTCACAGAAGTTTCCTTGATGTTCAGTGATTAAACTACAAAAAGAGGCCAACGAAATAACTTTCTGTTGGTTCAGCAATCACCTTTTTTTACTGGTGACTCGTTTTACAAAAAAAGGCCATTGCAAAAATTTGAATACCTTACATTTGAAAATTTCCTCACACTGCGCACTGTTCAAAGAATCTTTTCAATGCCCTTACACCATAAGCATGATAAGGGTGTAATTCATATGCCACATGTAATTATAAAGAAACAATCAATCGTGAAATCTCTGGAGGGATACATTTTGGTAACTCCGTAACTTCGGTAACTCGTGTTACAGTTTGTTCGCCGATCTTTGCTACAAGTTCAAACATATAAGAAACAAACAAAAAACTCTTTTGACATACAATATGAACCTTTCTCTCTACAGTTGACCACTTTCCATCTCACTGGCACACCACTCAAATGAAAGGTCTTGTTATCCTCTTCAATTTGATACTACATTTGAAGTTGTGATGCTTGTTGGTTTGAAATTTCATAAATTTTCAAATTTTTAGCCGTGTCCACTTTTGCGTGGAATTGCCCAACAAGCTTTCTTACACTCTTTAAAACTGACTCAAGTCCACTCAAGAACCCAGTAAGCAACAGTAACAGTTGTATATCACCAAAAAACAACCCATTTTTCCATACCGCCACAAAGATAAAACACAAAGCATCCTGCTTTGTCTACTACGGTAGCATAACTGAGGAGAAAAAGAAATCCATGGAATTGCAATGTGCTTGTGTAACAAGATGGTAAACATCAACTAAATAAATGTTAACCTGTGCAATGTGTACACTGAATCCATGTACACAAAAGTTCAACGTTGCAAAATGAACCAATGGAAACATTCAAACAAAAATTTAAGAAAATGGATACATGGAGGCCTGTCGCCTGACGTTTTGACCAACCATAGTCATGACTGCACAACCAAATGTCCAACAAAGGTCGCAGATGCGTGAACTGAAGCTCGGTGCATGCAGTTGGGACATGCATGTGACATCGGGGAGATGCCCATTTTCATTGCCCATGTGCAAAGTGGGTGGGCTAATGTTCAAATCCAGAAATGTCCATCCATGCCATACACAAGTTTAAAGGGAAAATACAACATTTGCAAACATCAAAAAATAAAACTACCAAATCATTTTGAAATACCTTGCTGGACTGTTAGTGAATGACAGTGTAAAGCATCCTGTAAAATCATGGCACCTGGTATACTGTCATTTTCAAGAAAAGTGGTATTTTTGTATCAATGTCCAACGCTGGTCGGCCGACCAGCGTTGGAAAAAAATGGCTTTTTTTCAAATACTGGCCCCAATTGACCATCGCACTTGTTTGCAATCAATTACACACCTATGAACGGGTACAAGCCAGCTAGACTGGTTCCCTGACCTTACAATTCCCCAATGTATGTAAACTGCTCTGTTTCTTCTTATATGGAGTCAGGGAACCAGACTACAGGGTCATGATTGTTTTTCTTGGTTTTTATAGCATTTTCGAACCCAAAACCTCAAAAAAGTCAGTGTAACTATATTTGCTATATATTTCCAACCCCCCCAATTCCATTCATTTCTGAAAATTACAGCAAAAGCAAATGATGTATATTCCCTTTAAGGTGACTTGGCTGCACAATACTGGCATCGGTCAAAACTACACAAAAACCACATTTTTTCTATAGATAAATTTGGGGTGATGAGGAATAACATGTATAGAAGTCAACCAAGATGCATCCTAAACTAATCAGTGGTTCTCAGAATGACCACAGACAGACACGATCACACAGTAAAACCTGCTGTTACAAATGTATGTGCACACAGTTGGGAAGATAAGACGGCTGCGCTAGAGAGCAGAAGATTGAGGGTCTCGAGTCTCACCTTAGCAAGCCGGTAATTTTGTTCCCACAAGCACTCAGAAAGCACTCAATTGGTCTACATTGTATGCATTGCTTGTAAAAACTACGTTGCAACCAAAATATACAGTGTAGGGCTCTCTCTGGCCCACGTGACCTGGCCTACATCTGGTACCGGGAAGTCAGCGTTGCCATTGTAGTAGGCAAAGATCGTATAGAACCGCGCGCAGTAGGTAGTAGGCAAACCTTCAAAGCTGTGATGGGTGGCAAAAACTGTGAGAAAAACGCGGAGCCAACACCCAGTGCTGGGTCGGCACGATTATGCCAACCGTACACGGCACAGGTAGTGACCAGTTTGCCATTTGATAAAGAATTTGTTGTTGTTTTACGTGATAATAAGTTCTTCTGTCTAGTTTGCTAAGCAAACTCTTGCCTACTGCATTGGTGGCCGATCACAGGGTAACCGGATGGTCACGTGGTACTTGGACGTCATACGTCACACCCGTATTAAAAAAACTTAAAGTCCATATGAACCTACCTGGTAATTGCCCCCACTGCCCCCGCTACGTCCATATTGTTGCTGCTGCGTGTACCTTGATTGATTCTGCTGGTAAGCTGACTGCTGGCCTTGCGCATTACGGGACCAACCTGTCCCTCCATAGCCACTGCAGGTAAAGAGATGAAGAGATTTATCAGTTGGTTACGTGAGAGTCTTGAGTGGATCAACCTACATGTAGATGGAACATGTACAGTTGGAAAGTCTTCATAGACTAATTCAGGGACAGCCATGTTGTGAGGTGGAACTGCAGTAGCACCAGGTTCGCGCGAGTCACGCTCAGGAAGTACGCACGCACTCTGGGCTCCTTGGACCAGTAGGTAACCAATATCAGCGTGTGCCTGGTCTTTAAGAACGCGTGCGACGTGCGCCTGACTGTGGCACCAACCAAAAATTGCTTCTGATTTTGTTCGCCGGATTACACTACATGCCTAATAAAGTTACAAGACAAGAGAAAATTCCAAGCTGCATGAGACTTTCTACAGTGTGTCTCAAGATTTAATGACACACATGCTTATGACATATGTTTTAAAAAAATGAGGATGTCAGCATATCTACTTAGGAAAGTTGCATGTCCGCTTTTTTTGGCTTCAAGATTCTGTGTAAGACATGTTTCTCAGCAAGATACCTTGTCAAACTTATTCATATTCTCAAATTTAAAGCACGGCTTTCTCCCACAAACACACAAAAAAAAGAACAAACGATTTCAATAAATACAGTGCATAGACCAATCCAGTCACAATATCAATTCTATCACGAAACCCCTTCAATGGCGAACGCATTGTGCTAGCTATTGTTCAGATAATTCATAATGGCGCAGTTGCTTTGTACAATGGCATGAACAATGGTTTCTTTGTTACAGGGGGCCTCGTGAGTGTACAGTAATCACTTGCCCGGATTCGTCTATAGATCACCCCTTCACCACGTTCACACCAAATTACAGCAGTTACAACTTGACAAGCAATAACCTTCTACAACAGATGAATGGAGTACTTTCTGGGGTCTAAAGAGGAGGACCAAGATACTTACATGTAAATCATTATCCATCTTGACATTCAACTTAAAAGCAAATTTAGATTTCAAAATCTCCACATTATCTCAGGGTTAGCCCTTTGTTGCCCTGTGTTTACAGAAGCACTCTTGCTTCACTTTTGCCACCCAGTTTTTTTTTGCGATGTGCAGTCATGTTAATGATAATTTTGTATACAAGTTTATGCATTTAGTGTAAAGTTTTGGTAGAAGCCAAAAATATAAAAGTTAGTGAACATTTATTTAAAATCATGACGTCATGATGATGACACTTGTTGGTGCACACATCTAAATGTGATCTTGTTCTGAGTCAACTTTGGAGTCGATTTGAGCAAGGAAAGTGTCAATTTCTTTTAGTAGAATGAAGTATAAAAAATTTAAAATTCATAAAAAATCAACCAATGACGTTATCATGACGTCACTTTGTATTTTGCACATTAATATTATCTACATAAAGCTTCCCACCAAGTTTTAGGATGATAGGACCTTCTCTCATACATGTATGTATGTGTTTTAAAAAAATGAATTTCGATGTCATCGTAACATCACAACACTTTTCACATTTTTGTGCAAATGTCTATGACCTAACAAACTTATTACAGAAATCATTTTGAATTTACATGTAGCATGTTGCGTTTGTGAGATGTGGAAATGAACTTCAACACTTCCAATAAAATTACATTATGACTTCATCATGACATCACCTCAATTTTCATCTATAACACATTCCTGTCTATGAACATACAAAATTTCAACCAAAAGAGCCTTGTAGTTCTCTACATATAGGCCACTGAAAAACGCACCTTTATGATGACGTCACGTGACACATGATGACGTCATCATGACATCACTTGTCGAGACACACCTTTGCTATGGGCTTTATGTCTGGATGTTAAGCGTCATTGGTATATGACTAAGTTCAATGCCCAACCGTGTACAAAGTCTATGGGATTTTTAATCGTAGACCCAAGAAGAAAAAGTCAGGGGAAAAAAAATAATCAGCACAAAAACAAAGGCTTTTCCGCAACTATACAAGGATTCAGCACAAAAAGGACACAAGTCCATCACAAACGTCAGGATGAAGGTGATGAAGAAGAAACTCCACACCGAAGATGATTGACTAACCCAATCCTTACACTGTCGGTAAAACTATGGCAGTGTCTTGTCACTGACAAGTGACTGAGCTCAAGAACTAAAATTTCTCATATTCCTTGGAAAAAAATACACTAAACTGTTGTATCTATAGTTGACCAATGTTTGAAAAATGATTCTCGTCAGGACCAGCCTTTCTGAGGTTCACTGCATCGTTGGATTAGACATGCATTCTGCAATTTACAGCAGAAAGACAGGATCATGAAGTTCAGCCATGACCATAATTGGACGAAAGCAAAGTGGCACAAATCAGAGACAGGTAAGGCCAAAAAAAAAGTCTCCGGTTTCTGGTATGGAGCTTGCCCTAAAAGCGGTGCGGCGACGCAGGTTTTTTTTTTTTTTTTACCCAACTTTTTTCTCTCTTCAAATGTCGTCTGATGTTGCAGATGACGCTTCGATCCCTTAAAACTCTCAAAATATCCTTCAGAGTGCAGCTTGAGGTGACCTCAGTAAGGCCATAAGGTTTGAGAAGTATATTGAGCTAATTAAAAAGCATTTACAGGTTCCAGATACACGACCATCGCTCCGTCAGTCTGGCTTCCAGACGCACAATTACAAAATTACAACACTGTCTGTAAATGGTGCCCAACTAAATTTAGTGCAAAATATATGGGAGCTCAGAGAGGCCACATAAAGCTTATACTCGATCGTAACCCCATCTAAAACACGTTAAAATTGTGCAGCAGCAGGATTCCAGTCAAACCAGTGAGTTTGGCGGTTTTTAGACATCACCTTACATTGAAAAAAAAAACTTTTTAATTTTGCCGACGCGCATGGCTACGGCGACGTGCACATACCAGAAACCGGATATTTTTTTTTTTGGCCCTAAATACGATAAAAAAACTGGGGTCTTTCACTTTCAGGTACATTTGTTTACATATGTTACACAGTAGCTTATGAAAGGCAGGTATTTTTGTTGCTGGCACGTATGTAGGAGCTGCCAGCCGTACATGTATGTACGCGTAGCTTTTCTTGCATTCATTCATATTATAAGTCCTGTTTTGAAAAAGATAGCACAGGACACAAAATGTGAGTGACTAGAATTTGCACAGCTAAGTACATACCAGTACATGTACCTAACATGATCATAGACTTTAGTGTACATATGTGCAATAGCCAGTTAAGAGGGCAATGCATTTAATAAAGCTTTTATTCTGCTAGGATAGGCACCAGAAGACCTTTTGCTACTGAATTAAAACAATAAAAAAACGCCCCTAAAGATGGCGGCTACTCACAAGGCCTGTACAGATTTCAACCTTCAAGAGTTTCATGACAATTTTAGACCTGTAGGTCTACTTTCACTTTATAATTGGCTAGAGTATTGCATGGATTATCATAGCTAAGCCAAACTGCTCATCATCAAACTGCCCTACCACTAGGATTTGACAAGTACGAGAAAAGCCAAAACGGATGCTTACCCCAATGAAACTAAATCCTGTCATGTTCAAGCGACAGACACTTCGTCCCGCCTGCCTAAATCCCGACACAAGGTATAAATCCACCAAAGACAGCGAAACGTCCATTTCGGACCGGACCACCTCACAAAACTGTGAACCGCCCGACACAAAAACGCTCACCAGAAATAATAGTCAGACAGACAGAGACACACATGCATTTATATACACACACAAGCCCCCGCTGCCAGCCATAAACTACCACTCTTTCCCCGTACTGGAGATTGCAGTTGAGTGTGTAAAGACCCGGCCACTGAAGCCGTTGAACAACGGCCTCCCTACCCCCTTGAATTTGGTCAGAAGTGTAGCACAAGTACCATTACCACGGCGGGGCCCGGCCCAGACCCTGGTCTGTGGAGACACCTTCCCTCTCCTCCACCGAGTGCGCCGGGCAAATCCTGTTACATCCCCATGGCCAAACTTTGCTGCCGGCGACTGACAAGAGCCCAATATGAGAACGTGGGATGAGGTATAAAGAGTACCACAACCACCAAAGAGGGGCTGAGTATTTTCTCTCCTCTCCTTGTTATTTTTTTTTCTTCCTTCTACCTTTACTTGTCCCTTCTCTTTCTGTCTCTCTTTTTAGCTTCTTTCTCTCGTCTTTGAGAGGACCATCTTGAGCTGAGAGAGACCTGGTCGTCAAGACCGAACCAGAAGGGTACTTGTGGACAGCCTACTTGATTTGTCGTGAGTCTAGCTTGGATGTCGGCAAGATGTTATCTGCTCAGATGTGTGCGCCGCAGTCACTCACGGCTTTTGCAAGTCAATCATCCCTCCCTCCTCCACAAAACAAGCCACGTCGAGGTCTGATAAAAAAATATGCTAATGTATTCATGCATGTGTGCCGATTGCAGTGCATGTCGGGTTGAATTAATGTCTATGTCTATATGTGTGTCCACACCACATTTTTAGTACAATCTTGTCAACATACATGTACATGTACGGTACTGATTTTCTTCATACATCATGCATTCAGAGCTGCGATAGGGCGGAGTACCAGAGAACTCGAGTATGCAACAAAAATGCCAACAACGGAGGTAGATACTCAATGAGTCACACAATCAGAAAATAGTCAAGAACAGTTGAATTGCAAATGCTGCAGTATGAATTAAAGCATTATTACGAGGAGTTGGCTACTTTGACAAAATTTTTGTATACTCTTGTCAAAGTTAACAAGCCGTTTGTGGAAAATTATCACGTTTGGCCACATTGGGCACTTCAATTCCAACACAACACTTACGTGTATAACAACCAAAAGAAGGAAGAAAGATACACAGTCTGATCGGGGGAACATTTATAATTATGTCTATATACTCAAGACTGGAATCAAGAGCAATTTTGAAATTTTAATTGAAACATTTTATGATTTTAAAGAGGAAGGGAACATGAAGTCCAAAATGTGAGAGTCTGATTGATATAGCCACCAATGATGCATGCCCCACCCCTTTGGATTTTAAACCCTCAGCTTTTGTCTCCAGTTTCAAATCATTTCATCAGGCTTCGGAATGACACAGATAGCTTGATTTTCCAGACCAAATGAATGTTAAATTTTCAGTCCAGAAGCAGACCGTGAAGCCGTACTGAGACAGAGTCCTCCCAGTTTGGGGACAGAAATCTCATGAAAACAACGCCAGAACTGAAAGGGGGGGGGGGTTCTAAAATAACCTTAGTTGGGCCACAGAACGCCCTCACAAGCATGTGCGTGGACGCAATAGCAAAAGAAACACAGCACTTTACCAGGAGAAGAACAGATAAAAGACAAGAAAGGTTTCAATTAGTATTGACCCAACACTGGCAAAAGTTGAAAACACAAGCACTATTTTCTTGCCGCATCGGAATAAAGAAAACTCAAAGAATTAAGAGGAAACTTCTCTTCTTGTGGGGCCTTGTTTATTCCCTCTCTCCAGGACACCTGGCTCCACTCAGTTGAATACGCTTTTTCAGAAAATGGCAACAAATAAAAGTGTCGATAGAAAAAAAGAAGAAGCAAGAAAAGAAGGAGAGGAAATCAGTGCAAAAGCCACTTCAAGTCCTCAGAAATTCAGGGGCCGAGGTGTCGGCTTGGAGACATAAAACCGCTGACAAGAAGGGTGGAAGCAAGGAGTTAATTGGGCTGGGTGCGGGTGGCTATTGTACGGCTAATTGAAAGAAGGGGGCTAACAGGGTGCCTGGTCCTTACGGGATGGGGTCCATCTCAAGGAGCTACTTATCAATCTGGTGGGATAGGGATTAGGAGGGGATTAAAATGGGATCAAGACGGGACTGAAGGGGGGAGTCTTTGGGTTTGTTGGATAGCTTGAGTGCTCAATGGCGGTCGTACTTTGACAAGTACATTACGTCGAGGTGTTACAGTTCGCATGCTTTAACTTTTAGGCACTTATATAAATAAAAGTGAACTGAAAATGGGGATTAAAAAGAACAATTGAGCCAATGGAAAAAACACTGTAAATAACCCTTTTAAGTACTGGTTCGTGTATTGGGGTATACAGGGGTTTTGACACTACCTGGGGCATTGCAACTGTACTGTTGTCAGTATCATTTTACAACATACAAAAATAAGCCTGTAATCATGGTAGTTAAAAAACATGTACGCTTCTGCACATCAAATGGTGATTTACATCAACATTTTACCAATAATAAATGGTAAACCTAAAATTATGCTCATAATATTCATTTGTTGATGGTCAAAAGGTTTAGCCCTCAACACTAAATCTCATCCATCTCTACTTAAAAGCCCCTCCCCCTAGAAAAAAATAACAAATTTTGGCCACGTTCTTAACCTTCGAAGTGTTCACAAAAAGTGATCTTTTCTGCAGGTGTTCCAAAACTCCATTATGTTCTTAATGTGTCATAATCCGGGATTAATGTGGGATTATCCTACTAGTCCAACAGTCACTGGTGTAAACACTGCCAGATTTTTTTTTAATCTCATGGATTAACCTATAAAGTAGCTGACTGCTGTTGTTCACAAAAATACAGAATTAACTGTATTTAAACTACAGATGCAAGGTTTCCAAACCCTTGCTTTTCAGGATTACTGCTCTTGTACAAAACAGAACTCGACTTTTCGGCGGTATTATAGAAACCCCACAAAGACTTCTTCCAATAGATTAAGTACTCACTTTTTTGTCGCAGGTACCTTTTGCACTTCTGAGGTACGTAGAAAGGGTGTCTAAATCTCAGTATCAAACACTGATTTCATTTAAGTTAGCCCTCAGGGGTGCTCTCCAAATAAAAGGATTAAACATCAGTATGGCTTCACAATTTCTCAAAAAGTTTTTGGAGCCACAGCAAAAAAGCACGACAAATCTTGAGGCATGCAGTTTCAATGCTGGGGAAAACTTAATTTCAAAAAAGCTTTGAAATTTGCAGAAAACAAACCTGCAATGTTTTTACCTTGATGGTGCATCAACAAATATACAAGAATAGATGTACAAAAGCTGTTAAAAGGTTTGGGGCTTTAAAGGGACACTTGGTCCTGGAACAGCCCAATTGGGCTACAAAACGCGCTTTGAACAAGATGATGTTAATCGGAAAGAACATTTAAAAGTAGGAAATAAACATCCACACAACTATCCTTTCAAAACTGGGATTTTTTGTGTTATTCCTGTATTATGCGTGCGAGAACGAATTTCAGGGTCCACTTTTGCGACTCCATAAATTCGAGCTGTTTGGATGTTAGTTGTGAATTCATTTGTAAAGTGTTCGCCTTTTGCAGACGTTGAAGAAACCAATTTTTTTTTTCATTGGTGATTGATCACCGCTGTTCCCGAGACACACAACGTGTATATCGTACACTAAGAACAACACGAAAAACGTATTTGTACTCCGTCGTGTCCGATGTAAACAACCGGGGATTTGTCCTCTTTTCTTGGGAACGGTAAGACATTACTGGTAGGTTGGTTTCCTTTCAACCAGAAGTTTGAAATAGGCTAAGTAAACAATCCAAAACATGAAATTTTCGGGGATTTCAGGACCTAGTGCCCCTTTAATAGGATAGGATGATAATAGAGCATGCAAGTATCGCCAGGCCACGTTCATGTTTTATGTGAATATCTTGGTACCAAACACTGACTAGTCTTGTCACAGAAATTGAGGTCAACATGTTAAATTTTATACTTGTCATCGATTTGCAATAAGTTACAATATGTTGTAAATTGAAATGTTTTTTTTTTTTTCTCAAAATACCCTTTATTTATTGCCCTTGATTGGATGGGCCCAGTCCGGACACAAAACGAATGCAGACATTGTTGATCCAATACATGGTGCTCAGATGTGCTGTATTCTCGTCAAATCTCGCAAGCGTTTAAAGGGAATATACATCATTGGCTTTTGCTGCAATTTTCAGAAACGAACTATTTGAGGGGTTAGTATAATAGATCAAATATTGTTTAACTGACATGTTTGAAGTTTTGTGTTAAGAAAGAAAAACAAAAATGTTTAAGTAGTCTGGTTCCCTGACTCCACTAAAGATAAAATGGATCAATTTATAGATGTCAGAAAATTGTAAGGTAAGGGAACCAGTCTAGCTGGCCTGCACCCGTTCATGAACATGTAACCAATAGCAAACAAAATTTGGACTGAAAAAAAATTGTAAATTTGGAGCAGTAGTTGAAAAATAGTTAGGTGTTTCCAACGGTGGTCGGCCGACCACCGTTGGAAATGTATACAAAAATACAATTTTCTTGAAAATGACTTGACACCAGGTGCCATAATTTTAAAGGATGCTTTAGGCTGGCATTAACCAACATCCTAGTAAGGTATTTCGTAAAAACTAGTTTTATTTTTCGATGTTTGCAAATGTTGTATATTCCCTTTAAGGTCAACTTGCACGCTCTATACAAATTTAAAAGGTCCACTATAAATCATTGGTTGCCAGAAAAAAAAGCTATTCTTTTCAAAGAGAGTTGCACATACCTTTGCTGATTTCCCTGGTAGCCACTGTAACCAGAACTGTTGCCCTCTCTGCTACTGTAATATGAGTTTCCACGGTGACCTACAGCAATAAAAACAAACAGAAAATATCCACTAAATAGATTGGCACCCTACTGTATTTGTTTATTTCTTATTTTAACTGGGTAGCCCATTCAGTGGAATCCACTGATCTCCCATGGGTCCCAGTAAAGAGAAGACAATGTGAAGAAATTACAGTTTTAGAGGTGGGAGGAAAAGCCCAGAAGAGTATTCTGAGGAAAACCCACGGAATCAGGTAGGGACTGAAAACCCTCTTCACATATTGGCCCAGGCGGGATTCGAACCCGGGTCACAGCGGTGGAAGGCGAGGAAAGTACCACTACGCCAACCTGACTCCCCTACGTGGATCACATTAATTAAGGAGGGTCAAAACTGATGGGCGACACCCATGTACGCATAAGGTAAAACAAATAGGGGACAGTGGATCACAAAATGTTACGACTGTGAGAAGTTCATGTTCAGTCACCAAAACAAAGAGACACAATGTCACAAGAATATTGTATATAATACAGTGATATCTGAGTGCGTTACTTTTTCAATTTTCTTTTTAGATAACATCTGAAAGTTTAATTTTAGTTACATGTTCACAGACTGAATAGAAATGGTTATTTCCCACCATAAATATTCACTAACACAGGTTTGTTGCAAAGATACTCAGATACTTGAGTTTTCACAAGAATTTGACTTGGAATGAAAAACAATTCCACAGAGGCAAGAAGCCAGAGAAACTGTCCTTCAAAGGTAATATACAACATTTGCTTTTGCTGTAATTTTCAGAAATGGACGGATTTGGGGATTAGTATTTTATAGCAAATATTGTTACAATTTTGTGCTCACAGATGCCGGAAAAACCAAGAACAAAAAATGCTGTTCCCTGACCCTACTTCAGATGAAATGGAGCAACTTATAGACGTCAGGGAATTGTCAGGTCGGGGAACCAGACTTTCACCCGTTCACAGATGTGTAACCGATTGCAAACAATTTGTGAACTAACTAAGTTTGGTAAATTGGGGGCAGTATTTGCAAAAAAGGCATTTTTTTTCTAACAATGGTCGGCTGGCCATCGTTGGAAATTGATACAAAAATTCCACTTTTCTTGAAAATGACAGTACACCAGGTTATAGGGCCTACAGGATGCCTGAGACTATAAATAATTCACTTACAGTCAAGTAAGGCATTTCAAAATAATTTGGGTGTTTGTTTTTTGATGTTTGCAAATGTTGTTTATTACCTTTAAAATGATGACAAATGGACTTGTAATGACTCAGCCTGATTTCCGCCAACCAGGATTGTCAGCATAGACAAATTACCATGCAGACAATAGTCCCTTCTCGGGGGGGGGGGGGGGGGGGGGGGGGGGGGGGGGGGGGGGGGTATATTTTACGTTTCACCGGCACCCAGTGCCTACCCACTCCCCTATTAATAATATAATCACTGGAGCCAAGCGATCAGGGCCTATTTGGTGGCTCCATCCCCAGACCAGACACCGCCCATCATATGATGGTTTCGTACAGACACAATATCAGGGCATGATAATTCCCCAATTAGGGGCTTCATGACAGCAGAAATAGGAGGGAGCGTTGGTTATTTGCAGGGGTGTAGTCGAGTCTATCACAAGTCTCTCCAAGTCCCTCACAAATCCTCCACAAATGATAACATCTACCATGACTGAATCAAGCTAAATGTAATCGAATTAAAATACATAGATTCACAATCTCAAAGAAATGACAACTGTCAATCTTGTGACCTGACTGACAAACAGATCCAAGCAGGAACCGTTTTTCAAGAAATCTACGCACCCACTAGTTTTCTCAAGTATTGGCCAAGATTGTTAACGCCGGGGCTAATTGATTCAGTGTAGAGGGCTTGTTTGAAATATGTACACATGCATATACTTAACTATGTCAACGCTATCGTAAGAATCATTGGTTGAATGACTACCTGTGGGGTCCTGGGTGCATCAGCTGATCAGCTTTGTTGTCAAGAATGAAGCTTCACTTCAAGAGTTTGCTACTGAAAACAGGGGCAAGGCGCAGCGAAGGCTGGGGTATTGACAGAGCTAACTGTGGCTTAGCCCCCCAGATGAAGTGGATAAAGAGAAAGGAATGTTGACGGTGTCTACTACGACCCTTCATTATAATGGTGAACGTACATTGGGGATGTGGTTCTACGTGTACCTCCCCACTCCCCTCTCGAACAGTATGACAGACAGAGACACGACCACCAGACAGTCACACTGTCAATCTGGTGCCTGCGTGGGGCTCGAACTGAAACATCCCCCACCCTGATTGTGTGATTGGAGACACTCGGGGAGGGACGTGGCATCATGTTGGCTCTCCTTTTATTGCATTTTGTTCAATCATCTGACGCCCAACACCAAATTTAATGAATTGGCCATGTTGGTAAACAGCCCAATTATCAGATTAAGATCATTAGCAGATGTAGGGCTCGCGACCAAATTGACATAATGTACATCTATGTTTGCCCTGTAGCTGAAATAACTAGCTGCAGTAAGGATAAACCACTGGTCTGCTATTTAAGGGGCAGAGTGTGCAATTGTGCAGGGCGAACAAATTTCCTGTTATTAATTTTATTACATTTTTGCAGAACCTGACAATTCCAAAATCACCCGTAAAAGCACACATCCATACTCTCAAGCATATATCCAGGAAGTACCCTTGCAATGTTGAATAGCGTGTGTGTGTGTGTCTTCTTTGTGAGGACAGAGGTACATGTACATCATCACTGCTATAGGAAGGTCTTGAAAACTGCATGTTCGACAATCTCTTCACCCAAGACGCCTCAAAACCACAAAACAATACATCCTTTCAGTATCCCCGTCCTTTTAATGCTACGGACATGACGGAGTTCCTGGATATTTCTCTGTGAAAACTCCATTTTATTTACGTTTCATTTTCACACGTATGTTTGAAGTTCCTCATGGAGATGGCCACGGGAAAAGCCCCTCTAATGCCCACGAACCACCTCTTTTCAACAAAATGACAGGCAGTCACACCCACGAGATGTGGACATAAACCCCTTTCTGTCTGTTTCAAACTTAACTGTTTGTTTACTGGTTTTAAAAGCCACTTAGTGCTGTCAATCAGTTGTCCCCTTTTATTCAATGTTTGAAAGCTTGGTGTTTGTCTGGTGGGTTACAATGTTTAATATCCATCGGTCCACACTTGGTTTACTGTTTTGTTTCTTTCTTTTTTGGAACAAGGATGAATGAAAAAAGTGTAGGGCTGTTTTTAGCCCGAACATTTTTTTTGGGTACTGAATATGAACAAAGGCAGGGTTCGATTGCAAAGTTTTAGAGTAGTTAGCACACGACAGTAGGGACTCTTGATTGGGTGGGTTTTCGAGGTTTAAATACTAATTCATAAATAGCTCAGACAGTTTAGCCATTCCTATTGGTCGAGAGCCTGTCACGTGGCCGGTCTTAAACGGATGATAAAGACATGGCTAGCTGGTCTTAAATCCTTTTCCAGTGTGACATAAAATGTGGACTCCTAAAAATTCAGTGCCTCTTACCGTTTTATTGGTTGAACGTTCACAGTCCTCACGTAGGCATGCGCAACACTACCAGGGAGTCAGAATTTTATAGTTCTAAATTCAAAATGCAACGCGCCAGGTGCATTCTGCGCGACATCGCGCAGAACATGCTACGCGCGCGTCAATCTCCAAAAGGGTTCTTTACATCTTAATCGCCAGCTGAACACTCCATTATTTAGCTAGAGAGATGTTTAAAAAAGCATGAAGTGAACTTGTTGAACAAAATCGGGATTTTTTTGACCGAAATATTATATTTTTTTGACCGAAAAGGTATTTATGAATGGGAATAAATATGTGCTCGGTCGGTATTAATCGGGTAATTATCAGCACCCAGACTCTAAGCGGTCTTAAACAGAGTGATAAAAACCTCTCGAGCACACATTTATTCCCTTATTATATTTCTGCAAGTCACAGGCATAAAGAAATTTGCTCTAACCAAAAGGTACAAACAAAAACATCGACCTCAACTCCCGAGTAAAATGCCCTTTTTGCAAATAAATCTACACTGTGAATGCAGATTTAACAAGGCGTCTGTGAAATTTTGGTTAAATGTCTCCATAAACACAGCACACGTTCCACCCTCTTCAAGTCACTGAGATAACAAAATTTAAGAATTTCTTTTAACGCACCCAAATAAGAAGATTGACTTCGTTGATATAAAAGCATTCAAATTTGGAGGTGCATATACGATAGGCTCCGAATTCACGCTCAATAGATCCATCAATACATGCCCTCTAAAAACAACGCTCCCCCTTAAATCCCAATTGCCCAAACCAAGCTTTTAAAAACCCTAAGAAAAAAAAAAATTACAATAATAAAAACTCAGCGGCTCAAAATTCATGCAGCAATACACGTTCCAGACCTTAAAAAAAAGAAGAAGCATAATTTGTTTTTGAAGAGTCCTCATTACTATTCAACACAGACCCATCAGCGGTTATTTTTTCCCTCCTCGCTTTAACCCCCGAGTCGGTGCGCATACTAGCTCTTCCATCCCCGCACCGCTGCAATTTTTTTTTCTCCGTCTCACTCTCTCTCTTCCTTCTCGCTCTTCTTTGCCTTGCCCCCGCTTTGGACATTACTCGCGGCATGCATGCATATCGCTGAAACTGTGTCTCTCCTTGAGAACTGCCAATCACGCTGGCCCATGTTGTTGAGAGCGGGAACGCGCATTTTCAAGGGCCTCTTATCCCGAGTCCTCGCAGGCCGATGTCCCCGAAAAACAGAGCAGGCAGTTATGAAGAAAAGGAAAGAGAGAGCGGCAAAAGGAGTGAAGGGAAAAAAAAATCAACGGCAAAATAAAGAGAAGGAAAGAGAACGGGACAGAAACAAAGGTATGCGATTTACATGTAAAAAGGGGCATTGCATAGGACTGACGTTCCACAATGTATACAATTTATTTTAAAGACCCCCTCCCCCCTCACAAAAAGTTGAATATCAGAGGAATTATATCAATAAGGGGATGATGTT